TATCATTGTTGTAAATTTGTCGAAAATTATTAGATTGGTGAAATATTTAATAGGATTATTTTATAAGGGTTGCAAAATGTCACGGATCAAGGAACAGGCCCTGGTGCAACTATGTGGTTGATAGTATGTAAATTATCATTCTGAAGAGAAAACTACTTCAGTCTCTATCTATACTTATATATACATTGTCTATGTGGTTGAGGCACAGTCCCTCCCTCTCGGTTCCAATGGGATTCTTCACATGTGTTGTAGCTGTATGGTCCAATACTGCTGCCCTGCCGAACTAGATGCCGATGCCTTGATATTCTGTTGAGTGGCATCATATATCCACACATTGATGTCGATCAATCGTGCGCTACCAATATCAGGCTAGGCTCATGTTGGCCAACATGCGCTACAGGAACCAATCGGCTTACCAGCCGTTACACAAAACAGATGTTATTCAAGAACTATCTAGATCAAGGTACAAAAGAGAATCGTAAACTAAGGAGGTAAATAACTGGGGGAAACTAAATATATGTGTCAGAGGAAAGCCATGAATGATATTGTTGGGTCTAAATTATGCCTTACATTTAATACAAAGAGAGAAAGTTCTATGTACCCAAAATTATCATACAAACTATGTGCCAAGGCCGAAAAAATGTCTGCCAAGCCTAACCATATCAAGATGAATATGTTTAGGCGAGCACATGCTAAGTACAGTTCACAACTTCTACAATGTCATAAGTCTGACTTATGCCAAGATCCCTGATTTTGAAAATGAAGTGAATGAATTTCATGGATAAATATGGCGGAAACTAGGATGGTGTCTCATGGGGAGTTCCATTCTAAAACACAACTCGGGGTTAGATCAAGTTCTCAAACAATTAGGACAGGCTCAGGAACATAGGGTAGTTTCATAGGGATTGCATAGTAATACTGTTCGAGACAGAGCTTAGGGCTGTCCTATTATCTGATGTACATATATAGACAGCGTGAGGGAGTATTCTTCTACACACAACGTCTTCTGTTTATACTCATACCTATTGTTCACATACTTATCTCTTCTCCAAAGAAGACCGCTGTTATTGTACCCTCTGTTAGAGTATAGAGAAGACTTCGGAGTAAGAATTGCCTGAGAAAGGAGAAGAAGTTCAGTTTGCTTAATTGACTAATAGACTACAGGTGTTATGATATATACAGTGGAATTACAAGAAAGAGGTTATCCGGAACCAACTTGACTGCAGAAATAAGTGGGACCCCAGACCAGAAAACAATTATCCACTGACTCAGAATACTGGGTCATGCAATAGAAATACGGACAAACCAATGACTGGATTTGTTCGGGAAGAATAGGATTCAAGCAGACTCAAACGTTGAGTCTGATTGTTTCAGAAGTAAGGGCTCCTGCCTGAACTCAGAAATATAGTTCAGGCGAGATGCATGTAACCACATTGGTCGAAAGTAATAAAAGCAGGAAACTGTATTTTCAACACCCTCCTCATCAATTACTTATTTTACCTTTACCTCTTCCATGAACCCTATACCTAACGCTGACTTTATACCTCCTCGTCTTAGGAATCACAACCAGACGCCACACCTGTAACTGTAACAAAACCAAGCTGGTTGTAGCGTACTTTTAGAAAGATTAAACTAGTTTAGTTGTGACAAATTGTAACACATTTAGTCGATATAATCAATTGGGTCAGAATAAAGGCGGAACTGTATTTCATGTAATTACAAAATGTTGTGTTATCCATGTAACTTACCATGGTACATGCTTTAGGTCGCTTCATAGCATATGCACGTGACTGTGGAACTAAACTGTGGGGTGTTTAGTGTGTAATGCATGTGTGATGCATGTGTGGGTATACTGGACCAAACTAGAACTAGATGGAATAGAGATAACGGAATCAGCGAGAAACTGATGGACTGAGAGAGAACAAGCTGGTCATTTCTCGTAGGAGAGAAATGATATCATAAGGGAATGTTCTAGCACTAGGCTGTGAACAACACAGTAAGTCTGGAGCAAGATATAAGGAGGTCTCAACCTCCATCCATTCATTTGTAACTAAGTTTCCTTTATACAAGAATATAGAGTCAAGTCTTACATATCACGAGAACACACGCGACAGCAATTATAGAGACCTACTGTGATCATAACTTCCCCAAGAGTATCCATTGTCCTGCTCCCATATAGCCTAGTTAATATAACACAAATTGATACCTTGTTGCTTCCTAATGAAAAAACTACTCAGCACCATATAAAATGAGATTATATCACGTGCTCGGTTTTTCCATTCACAACTTACCCAGAACATGTTGTTGCCTGACGCATGCTTAGTGCAGTTGTACAAAACCTACATAACTTTTATTAAGTAAACTATATGAAGAGAGAAGTACCAAAACTACGGGCAATGACTATTTATACATCTTTCTAGCTCATCCAGTACGTACTCTGTTGGTGAGAATGACATATTGCTCCGCCACTGCCCGTTGTCATCTTTGCCATCTAGCTGACTCTCTCACTTGGCAATTCTACTTTGCTGTCTAACATTCCTTCCTAGCTCCAATATAATGTGGCCAAGTGAAACTTAGTTGCTTGATACAAGATAATACAAAACACTCTCCCTAATACGCCCCCAAACTCCGCTTAGGTCTCCACCTAAGCTATACCACGGTCAAACCGTAACAGTAACCTACTTGTGCCCCATGGAATACCAATAACACAGTGCCTTGAGAATGAATTTTGTAAATATGATGCAGGGGACGCTCCTTACCCAGCTGACAGGCTACTTTTCTCTCAACCGCGGGCTAACTCCCCTATACCTCTAAGTTTGAACCGAGTTGTGTGTGGATCCTATCCATCAGCATGTAGGGTGAAAGAGCTTCCCATATTCTTCAGCCTTAAATCACACTATGTTACTACAGTATCAAGCTTGCAGTGGGGATTAAGCAGGGATCATAGCATGTTAATTTAGACTGCTTAGGCATGATCGCCTTCCACATTGGGGTTAGCCCCCATATTTGTTTAAATTTTTGAAACAATTTACATGGCAAATTTTTTCTGGACACCATATTTTGCAGTGGATCTTTCCTTCGTACTAAACCTAGTTGGCATAATGATCGGCTGCATAATATTTGTGCATTTTTGCTACTTGACTTTATAACTTATTTACAAGAGTTCAAAGGTTTTCAAATTACAAAATAGAGCCAGTCTTATCCTAACCTTAGTTCTGAACATGTAGCTGGAATATTTTCAGGCCTTAATAACTGGTTGGTCCCCCATCTGCATCTACCACAGTCTGACATCTTGCTGGCATACTCTGAATGAGTCTCACAAGATCTTCGGAAGACACGGAATCCCACGCCTCCTTTACAATGTTGCAAAGACTTTCTGGAGTACGCTGCTTTCTGTCACCCAGGTTCAGATGATGACGCTAGATGTAATCCTGCATCCTATTCCAAAAAGCTTCAATCAGGTTAAGATCAGGCGAGTCGGCCGGCCAGAAAATCGGTTGAACAAGCCTCTTGCTCATATCTTCCATTGTAATTGCGGCTGTGTGGGCAGGAGCATTATCCTGCATTACGGAAAGCCAAGGTCTCATCAAGACCATGCCATCAATAAGAGGATCTATTTTCTCGCAATATTTTTGGGAGTTAATGGAACCCCATTCCTTCTCCCAAAACAAACAAGGGCCTTTTTCTGGCACTGCAAAGCAACCCTAGAACATCCATCTGATCCTATTCTTCGATTTTTCTCCAGCACAATCAGGGTTGTATACTTGGGAAGTCTAGCTCATAATGTTAGAGCATCAAATTAACATCTACTTATTGAGGAATGTAAGAACACTTCTTGTCACCCATTCTCCAGAATTTCTTCCAACCTCTACCCAGGTTTTTTCTGTCCACAAAACTGATTTCCAGCCTTCATATGTTCAATTGAGATGAGCTTCGGCCCATTCTCTGTGTGTCTTCATAGTTTTCTAAGATACTGGAGGCATTAGACGAGCCACATGCCGCTGATATTCTCTTTAGTTTTAACTTCTCTTTGTATTACTTGCTTGCTATCACCAAGATATCTAAAGGGGCCAGAGGCGAGTTCTAGAAATGTTTTGCAGCAGTTTTAAGGTGAAGACTTAGCCTAAGGTATAATCTGACTAACATCATCTGGTTTCAGTCTTGAGGAAGTCAACTTTCTCTTTTTGGGGGAGACAGTTCTGCGGCACAGTGAATAACTACCTTATCCCCGAGAAATGCCTAGTTACGTGGCAATCTGCGTCTGGTTTTTGCCGGATTTGTAGTGCCCATAAATCTGAAAACTTCTTTTAATTTTGATTAGTTTACATTTAATTCTTTGGCTTACTAAAATGTCTAAATCCCTGGATAATTGTTTGAATCAAGGTGTTGAGGGTGGGGTTTGAAGTGGATTCATCTGTAAAATAATGTTATTATTGAGTAAAGCCATGTGTCTTCGGAATAAATAACTTTGTATGTTAGAAATCTAATTCTTATTGTAACTCAAGCATAATTTGAGAAGAGCTGTGTAACTTTTTAGCAGTCGGCGCTTATCAAAGCAATGGGAAAGAACTAGAGAGCGGGTTGGATTTGCATAAAACTGAGGGTGACATGAAATCAAATTGTGCCCAAGCTTTAGGCCTGGAAATACAGGACAAGAATTATGTACCCTGTCGAAATCGGCGCTTACAGGGGTGCAACCCTTGTAGAAAATATGTGCCCCACATAAATCCTCTGAAAACTTGAAATTGTGGCCACAGGTCATTATTCCTCACACATAGAGATTCCTCAGGCTTATGCCTGAGCTCTGTTAGGCTCTAGCTGATGACATATATGAATGGTCTTCAAATTAAATACAGGGATGTCAAAAGATTTTTTGATATAAGTTTACTATTTTTCATTTATACTTAATATCATATTCCAGCAAGTCTTTCAATTCATGAATGCAATATCATGTATCTTACATAAATTTTGAATAGTTCATAAAATCTAGTTCTTATCCATCAGTCATATTTAATATCACATTCATAATGATTTTTTAGATAGGAATAGACATTGAATGTGTCAAATTGTGGGCTCATCAAGAGGTAGTGGTCAAATGCTTCTCCTACCATTAATTTTAGTATTTTGGAAAGAATAAAAATGATTCAAATGACAAACCTCTCCAAATATCTTCTGAAGGTAATAGTGGAAATTCGATATAATTTTCCCGTCCCCTTCCTTGGCTTGCACGTACATATTTTCTGGGGTAATGATTGACAGAGTGAAATGGATAAGTTTTGACTGCATTGGCTGTGCGAAGGATATAATCCATACTAAACGTTACGTCGTCACACTCATACCTCTGCTCAGCCACAATTATTCCAAAAATACTAGCAGCAAAAATAGCAGATGAAACCTTATTAAATTTCATATTGATATTTTCCTAAACAAGTCTGTTAACAGTCTAATCTATAACAGTGTAGGTAAAGACACTCTCAGAAGTATAAAAATTGTAGTTAGGCCTACCTAGTATTTAAGAATTAAAATGAATATGCCAATTTTGGATTAATTATTCAAATCATATGAGGATCAAAAGTGACTGTTAATAATCAATAATGTATATTTTTTTATTTTCAAATGATGAGAAGATAAAAATTTGTTGATCTGAAATTGAGGTTCCTAGTCCTTTTTATACAAAAAGACATTTTTGAAGGAATGCTTGACACAAGCAATAACTTTTAAAAATTCTACTAACTAGATAGGAAATTATCAATATATGACTGGTGCATAATAATTAGGTAATAAAATAAGCCATTCATACCATCCAACTTGAAGAAAATAATATGGTATGGTTTTTGTAAAGGGAGAATAAACTGAGAAATGAGATAATATCCATCAAAATTAGGTAATAATTGCCTGCCAATATATTTGAGTCTAGGTCAAGGTAAGCTAAAAATTTCCTACCCTTATGTAAATTTTTAGAAATTACGCTACTTGGCAACTAAAACTGTCATCAAACTGTAATAAAAAATTAGTTATTCCTTGAATAGCATTATTGAATACTCTTGTCGGAATTACTCGGGACTTTGTTATGTAACAGTTGAGGATTTAAAGGACTCAGAAGTACTAAATGACATTAACTCAATGGGAATTAATAATTTTTCCTTGTGAAGCTGAAGTATCTTCCATGACTCCGGTTTTTTATGTCTTATAATGCAACGCGTCTTAGCTCCTCTCCTAGCCACCAGGAGAATACTTCTTTCTCCCCTGGCTGCGTAAGCTATCAAATCCTTCCCTAAGTGTGACCTTTCAATTCCCTGGGCACTGTTCTATTGGAGCTTAACTTTATAGACGGAGTGATCCTAGTAACCAGTCCCAATCCGAACATAGCCTATCACAGTGTTACGGTTTGACCGCTATTAGAGCTTAGGTGAATACCTAAGCGGATTGTTGGGAATATTTACAACTAAGCGGCACTGCTAGTCAGGAGGTCGAAGCGTTACTACAACTAAGTAACACCTGGCAATGCGTGGCTGGGTAGCAAGTATTGTGCTTAAGGATAAGTCATCAGTCTGGAGATTGACGAAGGGGACCAATTCTTATAAATACCTGTTAGTCGTAGCTAGAGTTCTCTTTTCTCCTCATATAATTTAATAAATCGATTTATTCACAACCAACTCGGTTTCCGTCACACACAGTAACTTTAAAGAGGTAGGCGTGAAATCTTAGATACTTGATGATCAAGACAATGTGTAAAAACGTAATTAAGACTTGATTCTTTATTCATGAATATCTAGGGAATATTTTATGGCCAGGGATACTTGAGGAAGGAGAAAGGAGAGAGGTTCAGCAAGAAAATCGCCGGGAAAAACTCTTACAATTTGAGATAGAGGATATGAAGTCCTGATCTAATGTTGCGAAAGCCTTTATTGAAATTTCGTACGTAGTTTAGTATACTTGAGGAAGCTGGAGTCACCAAAAAGTAGTTCTCCAGCTTCTCAATCTCATATCTCCATAGTCTGTGGGAAATAAACTAAAAATTTGCAGAACTTTTCGAGTGATCATAGGGGAGACCGAAGTAATAACTTCGATGCGTATCTGTAAATGTAAATTATATCTATGGTAAAAGCTTGATTGAAACTCTTGATTTTTGCTTAAGTGTATGAGACTATTTTTAAACATTGATGTCCAATAATGATATAGGCTAGAGTGTAATTTCTCATTACAGGAAAACGAGCAAGAAATTACTGATCTGATACCAGTCACATGTATTCTTGTCACAATCTCAAACATCAGATGTGACACATAGTGATGGTGTGACCAGTATTGGATAGGCAACACCCGACAATCTTAATGGACACACACTGAAATTATAAGTACGGGTAGTGCCTAACCTGGTTTTGTAACATAGTCCAATATCCTCAAACATCCTACTACTTGTCTTAACCTGGAATCCTTCAATCTCAAACTGATATAAAGCTAAGGGCTTACGGAGGTTTATTGGCAGAAGGTTTACAGATGATTACTTATGAATGCTGGAAATGGAGACACACAGTATTGTTGACATATGGGCCCTCCATTTTGTCTAGGCTGCCAACACAATCTTATGTGTATTTCAGAGGTTGGAATGGGTAATATGGTAGCGCTTCAGGCTACCTATTGGAGAAATGAGCGGCTGTATGGCGTGATCATACAGTTATTGGGGGTTTTCTATGCCTGGATGGCGCCACTCTCGTTTACGCTGTGGCATAGGCTATGTGTTGCTTACACTTTTCTTGTTACGCACACTTCCCACACTAATAGCTGTTATCTGAACATGACACTCTTTTAGTCAACCTACACTTTTGTTCCATAACTATTGCGCCAAGTTCATTGCGCAATATTTCCATCAATGAATGAACTTGAACTGCTGATATTCTTGATATACAGAACCATGAGGATAAAGGAGGTAGAAAGCACTACTTTTATAAATATCTGAGTTAGCCAGACCCTGGCCTTACTTTAATAAAATATCATCCCGGAATATTCTAGACTCCTTCATCTTGTAGTATTATATAGAAACACTTTCCATAATGTGCTTCACTATTCCTATACTCATCATGGAATCTCCTGGAAAGTTCTTTCTTCTCCCTCAGTGATCATTACCCTTATGCATCGTAATATTTGACATCACAAGCATAATGCAACTTCCTGGTACTTTGCCAGCTTAATTAGTGTTAGAAAATTAAGTTTAATCTTATTAGTGATAACTACCTTCATTACGTAAGGGATTCCAACGCAATCCCTATATCCAGTATTCACACTCTAGTCCTGCTTCCCCTGTAAGACTTGTATAAACATGTACTGGTGTAACTACGCTTCTTTGACAAGAGAACACAACTTTGTTATTGTTATGAGCTTTAGCAAAGATGGAGGTTTTAACAGAATCAGTGTCGGCGGTTAGAGCGATGCAGTAAGTCTTGTATGAGGTTGCGAGAGGAAGATCCGAGTGGAAACAATTGTATTTAGATGTGTAGTTCAGAGTAAAACCGAGATAATAAGAGTGAGATTGCATGTTGGCATATCTTATCAACTGTGGTTTTTGACCAGTATTTATCAATCTCCATGGATCGTAAGTTATGATCCCTGTAGATGTAGATCTATGTACATACACATATATTGGCCAGTAATAAAAAGAAATAAGTTATTCTTGGCATTCCAAGGTATATCATATTTCAACAAGTGTAAATGATTGTTCTTTTCCTACAGACTGATTTACTTAATTATATTTTTGCTATATTTTTTATTGTCTTCATTGATGCCTCACATGTAAACAAATAATCAATTCACTCTTCTCCACTCTACTTTAGGTGATCATCTACTTACTTCAAAAGATTATGAGACCAAAGCTCTAACCAACTGAGCTAAGACTGCATCAACTCCTTCATATGAGACAGAAATTTTTCTGCTCATTCTACTTTTTTCCCCTTTTCGAGACAGAACTGGTTTCTGATCAACCTTTAAACTTACACCTCATTGCCCACCATTGCATATTCTCTTACAAGTGCCTTTCATCGTGTCTACTGCCAAGATTCTCAAGCACTGTAAGAATGCTCTCGAGCTAAGTAAGGAGTCTTATCTAAGATGTTGTCGTATATTTCCAACAAGTTTAAAAACCCATGAAGCCCAAGAATATATTTTGAGGAAAGTTCCTGATCTAATTCCTGCCAATGAAAATTCTACTTCCAAAATGTCCCCTCAGCAACTTGTCAACAACACCATGAAGCCACTGCCCCTCCAGCTAGTTCCAGAAGATGTTTACTACCTCATTGAAGCCTTACCTACGGCTTTTCAAATAGGGAACGCAATTGCAGTCTAACAGCAAAGTTTACGTAGATGGGCTAATTAAGATTTTTGGGGAATTAAATTCATATTGGGCCCTGACGTCAACAAGAACGCAAGTGAGTTGACAAAACTGCAATCTAAGATAGCGTTTTTAGACTCATCCAATCGTCTTTCTGATTTATTGAAAAGCAACCGCCTCATAGATCATTTGAAACTGAATGCAACAGCTTCCAAAATGGAGCATTATCATTTATTGTTGGAAATCTAGACTTAGTATATATGAAGGTTTAGATTTCTAAGTTTGACCATCAAGATCAATTGAATTGATCCAATTACATATGATTAAGCTAAGCTACGTGACATGAGGTTCATTGATATCTGTAATTCAGTGGCTAGGGAATGCTACCTTGCAATAATTGAGTGGCTGGTTGTTGCTAGATCACTGGGAGTTCGGGATCACTAAAGCCTAGGGAATCTTTATTTAAGGATAGACTTATTTGTATATGTTAAACTAAGTTTAAAGAATATTATATATTATTAATTCATGATGAGTAGAGAGTTCCATATCCTATACAACTATCAATAAATTCTTGTCTCAAATTGTATACTTGTTCTTCGAGATATTTCCTCCTAGAAATCCTTGGCAATTTCTAACATTTATGAAATTGAATTCTCATGTGTCATTCCTCGAGGTAGTGAACTTATTAAGGGACAGCCAGAGAAACTATCTGGAGCATAACAAGGAAGCTGTTGCTAATTTAGCTAATTACAGATAAGGTGTTGACATTGGCGTTACTTGGTAATAAGGAGTTGTATTAACATGGAATGTAATAAGGTTCGAATATTACTAGGATGTTCATGACGGCTCATACATTGACCAGCCTCCCAATTATCTAGCATAAGCTAGTGAATTGTGTCCTTCGCTTGGCTGTAGTAATTAGTTTAAATAGCGCTCTGATACTAAGTGGGTTTAATCAACACCTCTCCACTATTGTTTTCAGACTCTTCAATCTCCCAACTCGCTTCACTAGGTGATAGTAAATACAAGCCTAACAGCTTACGCTACTCTATAGAACTTCTATTCTAACATAAGGCATGTCAATGAAG